TTTCTAATTCAATTATTGCAAATATATGATACAGGGAGACGACGACGTTGAACAGCTACCATTGGAGGATTTGTCCCTTGCGTTTTATACCGTCGCTTTTAATCCCTGTAAATTGTTGGCCCACGGCAATATTTGACATTTCTCGATACACATTACGCTCTTTCCTTCTTTACGCTCTGTCCTTCTCCCACTCTCTAACATTACTTTCCTCGTTGTATGAAATAACTCGATTACACGACTGAAGGGTTGAGGTCACGAAATTGAATATTTTACGTGTCGTATCGCTCGTTGAAATGTTTTCAAACTTCTAAACGTACACATGGATCGAACGATTGATGGCGTTTTGGCTTTTGATTCCGATGTGATAGATGTGCAGGCGCTATTATTTGTATCACATAAAAGAGAATCAGGGAAAGATGAAATCAGAATTATAATATAGAGAGATATTCGCGGGGTATATTTAACCAGAACTCGTATACTGTTGTGTTAATATTTAACAAATGGAAATTGGCAAATGACACGTGGTTACTCACGATGCTTACGTAATTTGAATCACACCGAGTAAATAGACGCCGCACGTGGCTTGTATCAAACGTATAGTTCAATATGACACGATCGAAGAGGAAAATTGATGATAATTTTATGTTCACGGGGAGATACGAATCGTCGAGAAGCACGAAACTTTGCAGAAATCTCGATTGAAGATTTCGCCCGAAATGTTGTCCTTGGTCGCGAACTCGCAATTCTGTTCTCTTGATCGATCGATCGTTTCTCACCAAAGCCAAAGACAGAAGAACCAAATTCAACGAATAATCGGCAGAGAATGTCGCGCGCAAAGGTGTCACGTTACGTATTATTTGCTTTTGCGCAGCGTGCACATTGAAATTACGTGCCAGCACGTGACCTTTTTGCATACAAACCCACCGCGACGAATGACTCAATGCGTTCTCACAGACAGCTCATACGGCCGTTGGCGAATTTGTTTCGCTGAATGTTAATTCTTGCCGCGCGGAACGCCGCGCTGCAAGATTGTCGCGATGCGAAATGTCATTACGGCTTCGACGCTTCTAAAATTTCCGTTTCTAAAATAGTTCATGACGTTTGCCGTATTCGCATATCTGTGAAACCTCTCGTGGGGGAAACAATGCAGCCATTTTGCCCATGTCATCCATTGTTTTGGCGTACAATGCGACGCAACGACGGGTGACAGATTTTTATGCAGGACGACCAACGAAAGATGCTAACCGCGGCGGGAATTCGCGCTTATCAAAGCGACCTCGCTGTTCGCTTCGTCGTCTTTAATTAAATAATGCAGAGTGAAATTCAGAAGCAGTTGGAGTTAATTGGGAAATAATTAATATTCATTAATTCATCAGAGTATTACTTAACTATAACGGAGACAAAGTTTGATTTGTGAATATCAGTCGCGGTTTTTCGATACGATAACGACGTGTATTATCAGTATTAAATATATGCATAATTAATATTCTGATAATTAAGTATATATGCACCCCTGATAATTAAATTTCCAGAAAAACAAATTACGAGGCACAAATTATTGATAAATTGATTAATGCGCTTTCTCTCTCTCGCGCTTGTATCTTTTTGACGTCTTGGTGGATTTGGCGGAACGAGTTCGCGATGTTAATTAACTATGCTGTACGAATTTTGATGCGTCGTTGAAACTCGGCAACAATGTGGTAGTAACACGTATGCTTCAGCGATTTTACATTCAGTGGCTGTTTCGGCTGATACTATTTACAATAGACTGCAATATATTCATGATTACATAAATACTCAATATTAGAATTTCATTATTTACGACTTGAGGAAACAACGGCGTGTTCGACGATGTTTATCGACGCCCTCAGTTAATCAACATCAATCATCGCACTATTAACGAAGCAAATATTGGAAGTACAAGTTAGTTCGGTCCGTTTTTTTGTGTTAAAAGATGTATTTATTTCAAAACAAAATGAATGAACAGATCAATTAAAGTATTTTCCATCGCTGGCTACTACTTTCTCTCATTTCTCAGGCAATTTTCGAATTCCATCTCGAAAAAATGACTCGTCTTTTGAGGCGATCCAAGTTTGGAGCCAATTTTCGATTTCTGCTGATTTTCGAAAGAAGTGAACCGGTGACCTGCCAAATCGTGCTGCATCCTTCGGAACAATCAGAAGGAGCAATGTCCGGAGAATACGGCGGGTGCGGTGAAACATCCCATTTGAGCGTTTCCAAATATTTTTTTACGACTTTTGCGACATGAGGCCGAGCGTTGTCATGAAGAACGCCTTTCAACGTCTCTTGGTTTCAGTTCATAAGGCACCCAATTTTCTTGTTTTTGAATAATTCCCATGTCTCTCAATCGTACAGAAACGGCTTGTTGAGTCACTCCCAATGATTCTGCAAGCTCCTCTTGCGTTTGACTCTGATGTTCTTCGAGTAATGCCTCTAATTCTTTGCTTTCGAATTTTTTTGGCTGTCCAGAGCGAGGCTTGTCTTCGACGCTGAAATCTCCATCCTTGAAACGTCGAAACCATTCCCTATCCCATGATTTATCAGTTGGAGCAGCGTTACCATAAACTTCAATAAGCATTCGATGGGCTTCAGCTGCACTTTTCTTCCAATTAAAGCAGAAAATTAAAACCTCCCGCAAATGCTGCTTGGTTAACACAAAATTCGACATTTTCAACACTGTAAAAAGCAAGGTTTTTGTATGAAACTCAAAGCGATATAAACTGAATATTATTGGCAGATGTCTAACCTCTCTGAAACCGCCAAAATTGGCAGTCACTATGAACCATTCATAACAGCCGGAGCCATCTTTTGAAAACGGACCGAACTAATTTGTACACCCAATAATAGAATACTACATAATGCGCGCGAGAGACCTCTCATTGCTGCTCGGTCGTGCGGCTGCTCAATTTCGCGTCATTAAACAATGAGAGACCGCACTTTCTGAGAGAATGCATACGCCCAAGTGGAAATATTTCAAAGGACAGTGAACTCTAATTATTAGCGTGTGCAGTGATTGACAGGTACGATGCGAGAGCTAATAATGCCGTGCAACTGACAGATACACGATCTGCCTTGCTTTCAAACGTACGCATTCACATGTACACACGTACACATGTTCGTCCATTCGATAGTGGATCGTTACTTTGCAGCATTTATGGGTTTTCATCATGGGTGAGAGTAAAATTTTCTCGTGAACCGGTCCGGCGGATAGCGCCGTTCCCATGGATGATTACGTCCGCACCTGCGCGGAAAACGCGCATAGCTCGTCTGCCCAAATTGGGCAAACACTCTCTCTGTTCGATTGAGGGATTTTATTTCAGATTTGTGTAGCTGTTTGGCTATTCGCCTCGACTTGAAAAGAACGCGAGGTGCGAGAAAAATCGTCGAATTTAATTCCGTGACGAAAAATTCGTTACAAAATTCGGCGTAGCGCCCAACGAGCTTCGAATTTCAAACGCAATATATTTCTTGTCCCATGAAAACCACATCGATGACGAACAGTAGAAAACACTGCTACGAAACACGTAATTCGTCAGCCACTCTAACGAAAGATTTGCCTTCCGAGCGTTTTTTACGGTTCTTTTTCGGTCTAATACTCGGCCAATTGGCTCGTCGAGTTTCGTTAAAAGCGTATTCCATGTGAAATATATGTCCGTTAAAAATCGCGTTAGGTACCAAATGGCGACGGAGCACGAGCTCAACACGAAACCGTGAAAATGAATCATGCTTTCATCGTTTCTTCGATTTTACGAAAAAGATTTGCTGGCCGGTTCTCAATTTCTTTATCATCGAATGCGCGCAATAAAATCAATACCCTTCCAGAGACTCGTTACTTCGTTATTTCATTCGTCGTGTTTAAACGTGTGGTCACGATAAATATTACACGCCATTAATGACACGGTGTCAAGTTCGCGAGCCCTGCGATAAAGATTCAACAATTACTACAATTACTGTCTCACGAGACTATCTCTGAACTGTCCTTGCTGAGTGCGTGCGTGCGTGACGAATCATGAGAGTAATAATGCTAATTGGTCGGGGCGAAGAGCCATGTTTGTAATCTGGCAAATGTTTGCAGGATGCACACAATAATTTCTGGATCTACTATGTATCCCACCACTTGCATGACAATTCCAATTAGCTTTAATATCGCATTACGTGGCTGTTATGCTCGTTTCTTGCACGCACCTGGACGCCCGAAGACGTGAGATAATTTCGAATAAGATTGTATTCTCCCGCGTGCGCGCACTCGCGCGAAATTTTATTCTGACCCCTTGCGTCACGTGTCACCCTCGAAATTTATGGACACTTCTTTTTATTTGCCTTATTTGCCTTGTCCCATACGCGACTCATATTCCACCGCGTGGTGTCTGTCGCGATGATATTCGTACGGTACGAATGTGTGTACCGTGTTATTGCATTATGCGTGTGTAGGACGGTTGTTTAGTTAATAATCACGATTTATGAAGCAAAATATGTTACGTTTAACGCACACATTGATACACGCATGCACCCATCGATGGTACACCGCGAATTGAAAATAACGTTGTAATTTGCAGAGGCAATTTACATTTTCGCCACACGCAACTGCGATTTACTGGCGCACAATTGATTTACACAGTAGCACTCTGGATTATTGCATTATACGAAGCAGCTATTATGCAAATTATACGTATCGTTCCACAAAAATCGTTCTTGTGGCGGATACTCGGAAACAGCGGATGCTGAATGAAAGAATGAAGCGGATTATTCCGCGAAGATAAGTATCTCTACGAGGGAATCGAAAATGTTCTTGAATTCTCTGCGAAACAACGTTTGGCAGAGACAGATGGAATCGCCCGAGGTTCTAATGCAAACTTTAAAATCGAAAAGTCGTGTCGAGCTCGACCGAACGCCGATCGATCGGCGCAGGTTTCAACCTGATTCGCTCGACTCCGGCGAGGCGGAATATCAAGTAACGATCGGTTATTATTCTGTTACAGATACATGGCCATTATGCATCCCCTCAAGCACCGAATGTCCCGCAAAAGAACGATAATTACTCTAATTTTCATTTGGGGCATCTCGTCCGCGCTGGCGATCCCGTGTCTTTTATATTCTACAACGACGTCACGCAGGTAAGTATAATCGCTGCTAAAAACAGATTTAATTTATGTCGACAGTCGCGGCGAGTCAACTCCGGTGTGTGAACTCGTTGCTCTCCTGTGTATTATTTTACAATCGCGCAGTTCTAAAGGTTCATATTTTTTTAAGCCGAGAGGGAGAAGTATAAATATAAAGCGGAAGCTAGCGAGACAACACAATCCCGTTATTCCTCCCGACGGTAAAGCATGTTTCGATAATAGTACCGCCCCCTTTCGTACGTTTTCGCATCCTCGCGTTATTTCCTACAACATAACATAGATCGCCCGAGAATCCTTTGAAGAACGTATTTCTGTTTGAAGCACGTCCAATGATAGCAGAAACGTATCATGTTGTGAATGTGGGGATTCCGGTCACGTTTACGAGGAACGCATCGCATACCATAGAGCATACCAAATCATTTACGCCGCGTAATTTCCGTGAAAAAAGGGAAAACACGACATTTGCCAGTTGACGTGGTCGATTGAGGAAAGGACACACCGCGTCATACTCGAAACAGAAGGGAGAAGAACTAAAAAAAAATCGCTCCGCTAAGTAGTCGTGATGCAATGATGCTTGCATTTCATTCTCCCCGAGATACTTTCCTCGCGAAATAGTACGTCTCTTCGGGCGCTATGGAGTTTCTTATTTTCCTGCGAGACCAACGCCCCTTCGATAACGCCCCTTCACTTGGTGAGGAAACTCTTGGTGGTCCGTAACCCAGTTCCAAATATTTTCAATTTGATATACATATAACGCGCAAAGTACAGTACGTCCGTCGTCGGCGATCGGCAAACAGACGCTCGCGAGAGGTTCACGTTTTTGCGAGGGGAGCATCTTTTACATTTCGCAAGGTGCATTTCGCGGCGTGGCACGTTAACACGCGTTATTTGTAACGTAATTCGAAACGTAGCTTTGATCCCTTTCCGGCTTCAGCCTCCTTTTACCCGGCCGCGGGCTCGATTACAGGCGGTTTACAGTGCGCGGCTTGTACATATCTGCCCGCATGTAATGTCGTCTCTATCAATTTTCATAGTGTCTGTATAGGTCTGCGAGAGGTCTCATCTTCACGAGACATTTCATGCAGGATTATGCGCCACCGTGCGTCCGCAGACTCTATTATTGAATATTTAATGTGCTCCGGTGTGTCGATATATGAACTATTAGTACATAGAGACACGATGATCGAAGCGCACTCTCGCTTTGTGACTCGTCACGTTAATTAAATAAGCTGGGCCGACAAAGCAAGCGTTATTCTCCCAAATCAGAATTATATTAATTACAAACGCGAGCGAGTTTAAAATTAAGAGAAAAGAGGCGATTATTTGATAGAGTGAATTCAAAAAACTGTTGATTATCTCACTTGTTTATTCGAGCTGAAAGCGTGATTTCCCCTTATTTCGATATGGAGCATTGTGAAATTATTCGCGCGGAATATCTACCTCTATGTACGTCAGCTGCTGGCTCGCTTGCGGTCAGATGCAACGCCATCGCGAATTTCTTATCGTCACTGCTGACCTTCCTCTCTCCTATGAATTTTTCCCTTCGCTCACTCCTTTGACCTACTGCGTTTGTTTATCTTTACAATTTATATTAATCACTCCAAGACAATATTAAAGAAAGAGGAGGAGGACAAGGAAGAAGCACATGTAGCTCTTATATAAAGTAAGAACTTTCTAGCCGACGCGTTCGTTTTATTTCTCGAGGTAAAAATGTAATCTTCGCTGCTAGAAGTTTTTAGAGAAGAAAATTCAGTTCTGAGGATTTCTCTGTCCATTCTGTGTCCGCTTGACCGCTCCCCAAAGATATTCCTATCCTTTAAAAATGACTCTACATTTTTCCAAAGTCCCGCGCGCGTCAGTGTACTTCCAAGAAGAAAATGTCGACTCTACGTTTTTGCAAATAATTTCTGATGGGGTTCAATAAATGAGAAGTCACATCTCGGGGTATGATAAATAATGCATAGCATCTACCCGCGCATCACTAAAATTGTTAACCGAGATGCGCAATATCATTTCACTTGTGTACGCATAGCGCGCGGACATAAATTCGCGCGTACCTAATTTGAGGACAAGTGTGGCGGATTCTCCGGGGAATAGCATTTAGAATGGAAATTTCTAGTGGAAACGCGATATGAGAGCATGCGACCGACGTTCTTCTCCTTCTTTATATTACTTCTTTAGAAAAGGATTTCGCATTTCCTTCTTATTAGATCCCGGTGGAACGTAAGATTCATACTAGCGAGAGTGTTTCTCATGGCCGATCCGCCTCGTATGTTTCTCGCGCAGTTAATGTTCCGTACGGATAGTTTCCACCTTCAGATTGCTTTTTTCTTACCCTCCGGATACGATCGTTGAATGCGATTTCTCTCTCTCTCTCTCTCTCTCTCTCCCTCTCCTCTCTCTCTCTCTCTCTTTCTCGGTTTCTTTCGCTTCTTCACATTTTACGATAACGGAAGGCACATTTTACGATAACGGATCTAAGAAACCTCCGAGATAATTCGAGGAACCTCCTCATTGATTGATATTTAAAGATGCAAATATTTCGATAATGGCTTTGATAAGCTTAGTTGATTTTCCTCTGTCATGTGGATAATATTCATTACGCTCACGGCGATTCGTTATTCACTTTGAGTTACACAAACCGGTAAAACGGTAAAAAAAAAAGGAAACAGGAGAAGCTAGAAGAAACAGACAGAGAGAGAAAACGAACTAATGCACAGCCGATTACAGGTATTCCAACGGTACAAGCAGAGTCTCCTGTTACTTGTTATGGCCTGACGGCGGTTATTTGCATAGCAAAACGGAATATACGTAAGTAGTTGCTTGCATTCTACCGAAAAGCTTTCTTCTAAGTAATACCCGCGCACGTTCGGCATTTGCGACTGCGGAAGTATGCGGGAACTCGCGTCGCAGGCGCTCTCTTTAAAGGTCGCTTTGAACGGTTTACAATTAGCAGACAGAGAAATATTCAAAGGACAGCGCATTCCGCTCGTGATTATGTGTAATAATAAAATGCATAATAGAAATAAATGCGTGCTTGAGAATTTACTGTACGGCTGAAGTACGTGGCAGACGCACAACTGTGAGCGTGATTCGGGTTCTTTGCACGAGTTTTTAGTAGAAATAGAATTCCGTCGTAAATTGCAGTCTGATGCGAACTTAACGACGAAGTGCGCGGCACGTGAAATCGCGTGCGAAAAGAAATTCCGAAGCTAACTGCGTATCCCATTTGTGACTTGCCATTAGAAATACGAAAGTGGTCGAATCGATGATCGTCCTAAGAAGAGGGGGCAGGAAATTGTCACGACATCTAATGTAACATATCACCGAGAAATGATAAGAGTAGTTCGACTCAATTAGAGCGTCTTTAATCCATTGTTTCCGGGCACTTGAAACAAACTTCGGTTTGTGTCAGTTAGAAGTCATTAGCAATTAAAAGTTTAATCATATCCTTAGCCATAACTCATTCTCGTTTGAGATGAGACGTTCGGAATGACAAAGGAGCGTTAATAATAACGACGATGTGAATAAATTAACGTACGGCTTTGAATAACGTTTGCGGCATTAGGCCGCGGTGATTTTACAAAGTTTTGGAATTGTCCGATGTCCGATTAAAAAATGACTTCCGGGAGAAAAAGCACGACGTAAATCCTGCCTATATAATCATACAAACATTCGGATCTCTCACTGTATAAATAACATTTTAAGATTGAAAGAGTTAAACCGCTACTAGAGATAAATCACCCATTGTTTCGCATTGTTTCAGAAACTGAACAAAATCGATTTAAAGCGCGCATTATATCGTTCCCGACAGGGAGAGAAAAGCTCAGGGAGAAAGAACGGACGTAGAGCACAAAGTTCAATATTAAATACGTTCGAGCTTTTCTTTTGCGCGTGAACAGTAAACAAGACGAGATAAATTTGGATGACAGGACTAAATCCGAGGTTTGCTTCTTTATAAGATAAAATGTAGAATGGTGCGCACATCTATGTATGTGCGGCGTCACGGAGATAACAACAAATATGTAGGAAACACCAGAGCGCGAGATAGAGAAATAATATAAGCAATGTAAAATGTACAATATTATATACAAACTTCTTTTTGCTGTAAAATTGCAACCTCGGCATTTTCACGATCTTTGACTATATTCTAACACGGACGTTAAACTGTCTGAATATTTACAGTTTTACAAGTTTCTTTTTTTTCATTGGAAGTCAATACGATTTATAGTACGCATGCATTGCATCACGTTTTACTTCAAGTGTCAACGATTAAATTCAATACTCACCATATCTCATTGAAATTCATTCGATGTTCAAATCCGGTCATCCACGTGTGGCAAAGTCGACGAAGCATCCTGGGCTGCATGGCTCCGCATCAGAAAGTTGATGGTGTCCAGCTGCTTCACGTGTTCTCACTTCACTTCATTGCACTCGCGACGCGATTAATATTCATGCTTTAACGACGCTCCAGCGAATGTATTTCATCACGACTTTCGCGAAGTTTTCATTTATCGCGATATAGAATCCGTGAATTTGATTAACGAAAGACGAAATCGGAATTTGCAAATGCGTACGTTGAATATCTATCGCGACACGGCCACACGGCATTCCGCCGCTGTGAAAACATTCGCGGCGCGTAATGAATTTTTATATCGTTGGCGGCCGAGTCGAAATTTCGCTTCTACATGTCAAAATTGTTGCGCGAGATTACGTTGTCGAGTTGTTTCGCGACGCTTTATCGCGACGTTGAGATTAACGAATTTCATCTCCGTTTCCGAGATGTGATCCTAATTAATAAGTGCACACTCGACAAATTTCAAACGATACATTTGAAAAAAATATATAAACAGTCAAATGATGGTTGTGCATAAATTCAAACGTCCGCGTCGGAAGAGACGGCTAATACCATAGACGTGTAATAACTGGATTGCGCATTCGGCCGAAAAGTCGTCAAATATTAGAAAGAGAGTTGGAGTGGGGATTATTTGTATCGTTCTACTCCCCTCTACCTTCCTTTTTCGTCCCCTACCAAAGGCTTCTTCACCCTACCACGCGTCTTTAGAAAAAGACAGAATGGTATCCGTACTAGCAACTATTTCTTTCTAATTTCTGACGCGTTCTAACAAAGGGAGTCATTGAGACCGCGCGGTCTAGATATTATACGTCTATGGCTAATACAAACTCAAATTTTTTTCTCTTTTAATATCTATACATGATGCATGAATCCGGAAAAAGCAATCTTCTAATTGTGTCCGGTTATACATTTCGTTTAATGGGGCCTGTACGTACATGTACATACAAAAGTCCACGTGCGAAACGTGAATTAAATCGTATTGATTCCAACAAAATTTCATGAAAATCCAACACCCTCGATTTTTGTACTCATTATTTTATTTTGCGACTTACCAAACCGCCTTGAAGTCAGAGTCGACCGTATTCAGCTGCAACAATTCTAAAGTAAAAACGGGAACAGTTTGGTTAATCAGGTTCAGATTAATCCGACTTAACAAGAAGCAGGAATATGAGTGGATTAATCCTTTGAATCCGTAATACGAATCATTCTGATAACTATATCCCGCCTCCGGTCGCAAAGGGCTAAATGAACATGTGTATACAGGAAGTTTGTAAACTTCAAGCCGACCTTGCTCGACCCGAACCGGATTCTCCGGTGCTGCATCAACATTCACTGAAACTGTACACTGTAAGAAATGATGTGTTCAATTTAACATATTTCATGTGTCCCAAATCATCCACTTTTATTTATGTATTAATTTAACATACAGCAAATATGTTAAAAAATAACACACATAATATGTAAAAAATTAACACAAAAATTTAACATTTGAATGCCGTCATGAATCACAGTTCGTGTTAAATTGACATACAATGAATGTTACTTCAACATTTGGGAAAAGTAATGATCTATGATTTAATGAAATGAAAATGTTAGACATAATCTATGTGTTAAAAATCCAATCTTCACATACTAGAAATATTGACATTATACATTTAACCCAAAATAACTGTTATAATGAGGAAAATAACACACTTTAAGTGTTGACTCCAACATATAAAATATGTATAATATAGCAGGAATTCATACATTTACATATAAATTGTGTTATTTGTGAAATTGTGTTATTAATACTTGGAAATGTCATTTTAACACTTGAAAATAGATAATCTTAATTTAACACAAAAAAGTCTAGGTAACACAACAACGATATGTTAAATTAATACACGACTGTGTAAAAAATTTAACACAAAATTTTCTACACACAAATAATTTTAACAAAAGTACGAAATGTTTTTAACTGTGTAGCTGGCTTCCCGGTGCGGACACAAGTTCCGCCAGGATCTGTCGGATCGGAAACAAAAAGATAATTTTGCTAATCAGCAGCGATAGAGAGGTTGTCCGATTCAACACAAAACTCGACAAAATTTTTCTCTTAAATCCGGTAAAACTGTAACGATAGTCACTTTCTACATTTCTCAATGTTATTGCTGTTATTGCTGACCATTATCCCAACATCACATGCGCCAAGTACCATAATTGAATTAATTTTATCAATATCCCGACATCGATCGATTTGAGAAAATGCGATTGCGAAATAACGCATAACGCAACCTGACTTCATCACGCGTTCACCTCTGCGTCAGGCTGACTGTTATGGCGACCATTGAATCGCAAGCTTCTCCATGTTATTGTTACTACGTGTGTTTGTGTATCCAGGTTGCAATGTATTTTGCAAGGCTCATGTTATTGTCTAAGGTTTCTTTCGACGCAATGGTAAACGTTTGTTTTGTATTCGTTAACTATATAAACGGTACGTCCCTAGATTTACTATCGTACAAAAGTAATAGACTTTTATTTTGTAGCCTATTATTTTTTATTGCGCTGTTTACTTTAATTACTGTATCATTACATACCCTTCATGACATCTATACGAGAGAAAATTTAGCTGTTGTCGAATTGGAACGTTGTTGCATCGGGATTGAAACGCGCGCGTGAGATTGTAACGGCAGTACCGATCGAATGTACATGCTAAGCGCGGGAAGATGGATGTTCAATTAATTAAATAGATTCCTCGCGAAATGCGGTCGCAAGATTTCGAAGAGCATCTCATATATATGATACAAGTGAAATTTCAGATTACCTCGCACACCGAAACTTTCGTTTGTTTCGGATAGCCTAGGAACTTGAAATCGTTAATGCAACGCAGCCACCTTTGGCGAAGAACATCGTATAACATTGGAGTTTATACGACGAATTTCTATAGCTATCAACGAAGTGTTTCTAAGTTAGGTTTACTTAAGCAGTAACATCTGAATGAATGCCTGAAAACAGAATAAGTTAGGAACTTTTTGTAGTTAAATAACAACATAGATGGAAAATTGGTTTGAAGACCTCCTACGTGCATATCTTAAACTACACAAAACAATTTTTTGTTATTATTTTGCCTCAAGATGACGGTGCTGAAGCTCTCCAAGTAAAACCACGTTTTTCGAATTGGCTTGCAGCAGCACTTTAACAAATTTCATCCAATCCACTCGAAATTTTTACAGTAGCTGCTAAACTAAATTCTCTAGAGAAGTACACATGATTTTTACGATCGGTTTAAAACTTTCGTTATTGTAAATATTTTTTCACTGAATTTCTTGGATAAAACTGAAACTATTTTCCTAATGTTCACCATTTCTACAAAAATCAATATATTAACATATACGTGTGTACTTCTCCAGCAAATTTAATGTAAATTAATACAAATTTTGCCTTTTTGTCCTTTTTGAAAGTGTACGGCATTTCTGCTGCAAGCTGCGGGGACTCATGAGAAAAATGCGGCTTTACTTGGAGAGTGCCGCCTTGAGGCAAAATAATAACAAAAGATTGTTTTTGTGTAGTTTAAGGTACGCACGTTAGCGGCCTTCAAACCAATTTTCCATCCATGTTGTTATTTAACTACAACAAATTGCCAAACTTACTCTGTGTTTTCAGGCGTTCACTCAGATGTTACTCCTTAACAATGGGTGTAACCGTTTCGGTGCACCTCTAATAGCGTGCAATGAGATAATTTTAAATAGCTCAGCAGGCAACGACGTTCATTGTGCCGTACAATGCCGAAATGGTAGTTGAAGTTTCATACGAGTTCTACCTATATCAAGTCTCGAGTAATCTCTCAGAATGTTCCTCTTATGTAGAATTTAAGTTATCTGGCAATCGTGATTTCCATGCGTGCTCTCCAGAGTCTCGGCATTGAAACTCCAATCGATGCTGTTTGCAAGGATAAGTTTGAAACTGCGCTCCACTTTCTCTGCAGGAACGCGACGCAACGAAATATATATTCGATAAAATGAAAAAAAAAACAATTAAAAAAACACGATAATTAATTATCATTCCGAGTCGTGTCAAACATCAAATGTTAACACGTGACTCACACGTGAAAAAGAGGTAGAGCTATTTCGATTGTCGTGTTTGAATGTTCAATTATAATTTAATCGTGTAATAACGCGACTAATCGTGGAACTTTCAATCTCAAAAAAGAACCGTTTTTTCCCACAAGTATTTAGCCGAAGAAACGATGGAAGTTCTCGCTTCCCGCATATTTAACTTTGCTAAGGATGAAAGATTAGCAATTTGTCGTGTATGATTGTTATATTGTTGTACCATATATCGAGCGCAGACAATCTCGATTAACTGAGATAGATTCCTCTCCCTCCTTCTTAAATAATCGTCGTTGCCGCGGCCACGGGTGCAATTTATGAGACGAGTTACGACTTTAATCAAACTTGCTGTAACAACGGCGATTCTGCTTTGGCGTTTCACATAAATCGTTTATTCTACAGCTACAATCTTCTATTCCTGGCTGTAACGTATCTGATTCCTATGACAGTGATGATTGTGTGTTACGGGTTGATGGGTCGCGAATTGTGCTGCTCAAGATCTATCGGCGAAGTCACTCATAACCAGAGAGAATCGATGAAATCGAAACGTAAGGTACGTTGTCGATGTCCTGTTACGTTGATGTCGTTTAAGCAGATCCTTGCGATGCGTTGCGTCCGTGCGAGTGATTGAAAAAATCGATGCAATAAATGAGAATAAATATCTTGAGTGCGAGTAAATATCTTGAAACATCGTCGTCGATCCGCGTGTCTTACTGCATTAAACCGCACGATCCCGTGGAAAAGCGGATAAATTTGAAGAAATAACCGCAATTAAAACGTAAAAAATGTACATATATAGAAGAGAGTCGCAAAATTCAATTATCTGAAAATTTTAAAGCACACCAGAGTTCTCGTAAATTGAATCAGAGCAACTTTAAACTGGTTTGCAGATTCACTTGACATTCATTTGCACGCTAATCAAAAGTTTCTCCCTTTTAAAAAAAGAGAAAAAACGAGATAGGAGAAGAAGTAGAAATGCATTTTTTTTTAATTATATAAATCAACGTACCAGATTCCACACTTTGCGTGATACTGCAAGTATCTTTAGCGATGTTAAATTAATAACCTGCTATGAACGTAATATATATGTCGGGGAATCGCCCATAAGCGGAAAGTTCAGGACAATAGTCTCTATTAAATGATCACTTAATACCTTTACTTAACACTGTGCACACTACAATGCGTATGGTTGCATATAAATTTAGAGATTAGGCATGAATAATTGCGACTATAAACCGTTTTCGCGAACGCGTTATTATGCAACAAGGAGGGCAAAATCAATGCGCTAAATTTCACTGCGATGTACTCGCAGGAGAATAGTGGAACACTCGCTATTTATATTTGATTTAATTAGTGTTTGAGCGTAAATGCAATTTCAAAGATTGCACATGCGAGTGACTGCAAATTAACAAGTGTCTGATTCCGCGTTTGCAAAAAAACTCATTTTTGATCCGATAAATTTTCACAAGTCTCTAATATAGAACATACGCTCTGCATAAGACTTTTTGAAATATTTTCTTCACTTTTTACAGGTTGTGAAGATGTTTGGCGTCGTGGTGACAATATTTGCGGTGTGCTGGTTACCATATCAGGGATTCTTCATTTTCGTGTATCATCATCGTCACTTCGCGGAAAGTAGTTACGTACAACACGTATTTCTAAGCTTCTACTGGCTTGCCATGTCCAACTCTATGGTCAATCCGATCATATATTATTGGATGAATAACAGGTATTTCACGATTCTTACTTTGTCTGACATGAATAGCGTTGTAAAACTTTTCCTTAATAAACGAAGCGCGGTAATCTTTTTCTAGAAAAATAATTTCACATTCAAAGTAATGTTGTTTTTGAACTGTTACGCTAACGTGATGGAATCAAATAATCTTCAAGAAATGTGCAAAATCAATTTATCACGTTTCAAGACTGATAAATTAAACGTCAGAGAAGAGTTTGAAATAATTCCGTTCCCGGATAAGACGCCAATAAATTTATACGTCCACAGCAAGATTAATAACATGACGAATGAAACAAAAAATATATATGTATATACATACATACGAGGGTAGTCCCAGAAGTACCTGACCTGACATATAGATAGCGGTTGTTGTTTGAAAAGAATGACTATGGTAGAAAGTATCAACCTTATAAAGCTTAAGTTTGAAGTTTGACGACGTTTGGCTACGTTGTTTAGTATTTGTTTGGCAGCCATCAATAGTGAACGCTCTCAGTGAATTTGTAAACATGGAAAAAATTGGTCATCATTATGTGATACAATACTTTCATTTGAAAGGTCTCAGTTCAACCAATATCAAAGCGGAGCTAGATTCTACTCTGGGGGAGTCTGCTCCTTCGTTTACAACAGTAAAATATTGGGTGGCAGAGTTTAAACGAGGCTGTATGAGCTGCCAAGACGAACATCGCAGTGGTCGACCAAATGAGGCGACCACGCCAGAAATGGTGAAGAAAATCCACAAAATGGTACTGGATAACTGTCGACTGAAAGTGCGCAAGTTAGCAGACATGGTAGGCATTTCAAAAAGTGCTGTACATCGCATATTGACTGAAAATTTGGACATGAGAAAGCTGAGTGCGCAAGATGGGTGCCGCGATTGGAACAAAAACAGCGTCGTGAGGATGTTTCAATCAAGTGTTTGAAGTTTCGCAGCAATAAAACCGAGTTTTTGCGTCGATTCATAACCATGGATGAAACATGGGTCCATCACTTCACACCTGAGACGAAGGAACAGTCAAAACAATGGACCAAGGTGGCTCGATGGCTATTTTGAGGAGCTCGACGATTCCCACTATAAACAGGGTATCGAAGTTATTGAACATCGCTGGGAAAAGTGTATTGAGCTAAAAGGAGACTATGTAGAGAAATAAAGATATTTTTTCCTAAATTTTTTGTGTTTTCTTTGTCAGGTCAGGTGCTGGGACTACCCTCGTATATACACGATAAAATCTTCCTTTTTTCTCTCGCATCGCCATTAAACAGAATCATAATTCGGACTTCATATATTAGATGAGATTTACATAAGTCCTCGTAATATCTAATCGAACGTAATACTTTAAAAAATTGGACAACTCTCGGGATTACATAAAGTATTTCCCAACAATTTCACAGAGAACGGAGTTGAATTCGAGGAAGGAGGATTAACGTTGTCAAAAATACAATCCCTCGTCCTGAAAGTTTGCCATCAACTTTCCAGCGAAACTGCGCAGTCTCACCTCACCAAAGTATAATTAATATAATACTTTAAAATGAATATAAATTACCAGCATAATCGTTCTCTCAAAACTTCATGATCATGCGCCAAAATCTGAATAATATGAATCATCCGGCGGTCCCGCGTCACCACTTCTTAATCAATAATGCAAGCATCGATCCAATGAATAACCACGAGGAACTTTGGTTTGCAATCTAATTATGCATTTACACATTTGCATGTCGCTTCACGATAGTCTAAGTATTTCTCCGGTGTACGACTCGATCAGCCTTTTTACGTTCGAGCACCGAATCGATTTCTCTGTTGAACATTCGCGATATGAACGTTATCAGAGATTCATACTTCTTTTTCATTGTACCTAGAAGGGATCTTGTTATCGTTTACACCCTTAGACGACCCTATTAGTAGCGGAGAGACACTCGATTCCTGCGTCGTGTCGACGATGACTTTCACCACGTTGTCCTCGATATAAGACAATCGTGGGCGATCAAGAAGAATAAGTGAGAAAGATTTAATTTTCTAGATTTCACTCAGCCTTTCGGAGAAAAATGTAAGACAATTAGAGACATTTCTTCGTAATCAGCAGCAACCGAGAAGAACAATAACGTCACAGTTAGAGTATATCTTAAAAAAAAGTCCTTTCGACAGAAACATTTCCTAAACAGACATTTAACCATTTCTCGTGTTTAGGAAGCACACAAAAATATTCCCGTATGTGACTACTTCGCGTCCTATTTTCGAGCTAAATCACGAAATCACGACATTTTCTCACGTATTTCGGATTCTCAAGATTTGAACAAGTTGCGGAAGAACGGAATACTTTCCTACAATGAAGATGGCAAAAGTATGTAGCAGAATATGTGAAATATATATCGCACAATAGACTTGCAGTTTGACAGTGGGAAACTTTGTTAAACTGCCCGAACCATCGCTAAGCCATGATACTATGCAACAGGATGACCAATTGATTAAACTCGAGGTGCGACACCTTTCACAGCTAGGTTACAATAATATCGGTCTCGCTATTTGCATTCTCCGCTGTTGCATACTCAACGGCCATTGTACAATACCGTCGCGCTGCGATACACAACGGAGAGGCACATGAAATCTAATTATCGTTCCATTAATATCGCCCGATCGTATAACAATCGCGTACGAATATTGCTGACACTGACGATAAAACGGCTGTTACACGCGTTGTGAAACGCGTTTATATGCGCGTTTTACGCGCGAACATAAGCACATGTTTTTAGACGCGTTTGACAGGCCGCCAGCACATAACAAACGCGCGAGTTCCACTTTTCGTTTTCGATATCGCTCGAATTTACAGGCGTCGCGCGCCGAGGAAAAGAGATGAAGAGGAAAGATGTGGATTGATGAGACGCTAGCACACGCTGTTGTTAAATGTACCATTTCATGCGACATTTTGCATCGAACTGAAGACGAGCCTTTGTCATCCTTCCTTTATCCGGAAGTGAGGGCCAAATAATCGATGGGTTTAACAGTTAAGGAGGTCACGATCTGTCGAGTATGGTCCTTGTGTGTACGCTCTATCCGTCTGATGTATTGATCAGGTACACATTTGTAATACCTCATTACTCCGGAAAGCGTTTCACAAGAGAAGATTACACGCCGTCGGACAATTGGCGCCTATAATGGATTCGGGAGCGAGAAAGAGAGAGAAAGAAGAAAAGTTGCATAAAAAGGAGCGCTAGAATTTTCTATCAATAAATACCGTCCCCTCCAGAAATCGGTGCATTTTTCGCTGCGCGATATTAATTATATTAAAAGATTATCGGGCTTTTGAAATCAACCATGTCCTTCTGGTAGACGTGGTCTCGTTAAAAGTTTGATCAATGATCAATGATCAATCTTCAAGTAACAATGTTATTCGTTGTGATGTTATTAAATTAAACTCAATAAACATTACGAAACTTCTGTCTAATATTGATAGACCTGAACTCTTCGATTAATGAATTAAGTTTTGATGATGCAGCGGGATATCTATAACGATATAAGTGCACACGGAAGCATTTTTTCTCTGAATTAATGAATTTCTCTGAATTGAGAACGGTATTCGTGTCAATGCCATTAGACTTTTCAATATTTCATCCGAAGATCAATGTTTCCACTAAAGGAAAATGGAGTTTCTTCTCATCTCTCTAGAGGGTGTTATAAACGAGCTACCAAGACTCAGCACTCAAGTCAAGTAAGAAAGAAGATCGTTTACCCGGATTGTATCCATGAAACTCAATAAATTCTACATGCTACCGCACTATATCGGTTACTTAAGACGGAAGAGAAAAAAAAACCAACGAATTATTTCAACGCGCATAAAGGACAAAAATTGAAAAGACGTCTCAAAGTTTGTGTTGAAAATAGTTTGAGAGGTATCGATTTTCTTACAAATAATATTGATTGCACTTTTCAATTCTCTACTTTAGAAAATGATTACAGAATTTCAAAATAAATATTGACTACGTTCTGCTTCAGTATAGAGCATCAAAGAAGAAAGATCAAAATTCGACGCAAGTATTATAAATACCAATGTAAAGAAGAATGTACGCTGCTACTAACGATAAAGGATCCCTCGCTTATTTGGTCGATTTACAAGTCAATCATCTTTCATTTTAAACGGGAATATCAAGAGAGAGAGAGAGAGAGAGAGAGAGAGAGAGAGAGAGAGAGAGAGACAGAGAGAAAGAGAGCGCATCATCACCGGTTCGTGCTCAAAGTTCTAATCCGTTTGATCACGACGATCTACTTTAGTCGACCTAGAAATTTCACTCGCGCGTACCTGCGATTTTGAGGAATCGCGTTAATCGTGTTAATAAATAGCGACTAACCGTCACTACTAAGCTGCCGAACTAACCGTCTTTTTCGTGATCTTAAAACGAAAAAAATACGCTACCGGCTTAAATTGTATAAACAAAGCCGTTGTTTACAGCATGTTGACGTTACAGTCATAGCTGCACTTATCTGTTTCAGATTTCGAGTTTACTTTAAGCTAGTAATCTGTAAATGCTGCCGCGCGATAGGTCGTAAGAACACGCAAAGCCATGAAATGCAGGAATTAACAGGATTCCAACGTTCGGTCGCCTGCAATTCCGGTGAGTACTCATCCTTCTTGCTTGGGTTGCGAGACAACGTTGCGTCCGTGACGTATATCATTGCGTTTTCATTTCACACTCGCTTAACTAGCGAGTCACCTGGCGATTGTATTTCACGCGGCCGACAATTGGAACGAGACATTTTTGACGGCTCCGTATCGTTTGTCTGCCGTTTCACAACGAGTGCTCCGTTACAATGACGGTTTTGGAAGCGTGTTGTGTGCGTCAGACATATTAACGGTATTATTTCAACAAAATTCATGAACAAATCTTTCCCTCTTGCGTGTGTTTTCCGCGAAATACAATTTTTTGTGCGAAAGATTTCTTGCGTAAGAGAGAAAAAGGGAAGGTGTAAGGATGGGAAGAAAGAGAGAAAGAGAGAGAGAGAGAGAGAGAGAGAGAGAGAGAGAGAGAGAGAGAGAGAGAGAGAGAGAGAGAGAGAGAGAGAGAGAGATAGAGATAGAGATAGAGATAGAGATAGAGATAGAGATAGAGATAGAGATAGAGATAGAGATAGAGATAGAGATAGAGATAGAGATAGAGATAGAGATAGAGATAGAGATAGAGATAGAGATAGAGATAGAGATAGAGATAGAGATAGAGATAGAGATAGAGATAGAGATAGAGATAGAGATAGAGATAGAGATAGAGATAGAGATAGAGATAGAGATAGAGATAGAGATAGAGATAGAGATAGAGATAGAGATAGAGATAGAGATAGAGATAGAGATAGAGATAGAGATAGAGATAGAGATAGAGATAGAGATAGAGATAGAGATAGAGATAGAGATAGAGATAGAGATAGAGATAGAGATAGAGATAGAGATAGAGATAGAGATAGAGATAGAGATAGAGATAGAGATAGAGATAGAGATAGAGATAGAGATAGAGATAGAGATAGAGATAGAGATAGAGATAGAGATAGAGATAGAGAGAGAGAGAGAGAGAGAGAGAGAGAGAGAGAGAGAGAGAGAGAATAAAAGAAACAAGGGCAATTTCATGTGTCTGGACGTTACAATCGTCCAATTAAATTCGCCCTCTGCAAATGTTAGAGTGAAGCCGGCCGTTATTAACAAAGCGTGATATCGTGTCCTACCGACGCAGCAAGGAAACGGCAGCAATTTGGCGAATTATTTCATCTAAAGTATGGGACAAACAGCCGACTCGTGCGGTATTTCGTCCAAAGGATCACTCGAAGTGATATTGAGACGCAGGTATCTCGCATACGACTGCAAAAGAGTTAAATGGCATATACATCGTCGACCAAGCATTCCAACAAAAAGTTGAGAGTTTGGCAGTTGGAAACCGAGAAAAGAAAAAGAGTAGAGAAGGCAGTAGGTTCGTTCACGTGAATTTTCGTCCCCTTCGTCTCCGGCAAGAAGATGTCTCGAGATAGGGTGACAAAGAGACGCGAACGTTTGTGCTACCCTTCTTTCGCCTCCCCACTCACTCATCCTCTCACTCTCTCTCTCTCTCTCTCTCTCTCTCTCTCTCTCTCTCTCTCTCTCTCTCTCTTTCCTGTTTTCCCAAAAAGCCAATTTCCGGCGTTCTACTGGCCTGCGGCTATTCTGAAAGCGCATGTGAGTATTTAATTTATGTCTATGCTCATCATATGTGCAAATCGTTTGTTTTCAATCTATTCAGAAACACAGGGCGCAACTTACGTTAAGAGGATGAATCATCATTTTCATCGAATACTGCTTACACGTTTCGCTGTGCGAGGGAACATCACTAACGCAAAAGGGAACTTCGTCATTAATGCGGATCAAACTTTCTGAATGCGCAAACGGAGCCAAGACGTCAACAGCGATATCTCTTTTTCATTCGTGCCGATCGCACCCTTCAAGGGTTAAGTGACATTCGACTATTGAAAGCAGAAAAAAGCCATCGGAAATGTGCCATCACCACGGAGCAATTCTTCTTTCTCGGGCTTTGGATTACGCGATCCCGCGGCTAATCTGAAATTGCCGCTTGATTTGCGATCCGAACGGCTGTTCCCTTTCGCCCGTTGAACCTCGAAATCAGCAAGCGCGATCAGAAAGCGACGGTATATTGTGGACCACAAAAAGATTTTAATACCGCGGGTTCGAAGAATAATTGATGGCGGATGAAAAGTGCAGCATATCGTAATTCGCGTTTCAAGCCGCTTTCTACACACGTTCGGCTTTCGACTAATCTCTGATGAGATTGCTTTCATAAATCATTGTTCTGAGCATGGTTATTAGCCGCGCGTTTCGCCGATATGATTAATTTTCAACCCGCCCGAGATATTTCCATTATGTGACGCAAGCGATGGCATCCTTTTTTATAACGACGTCGCGTACATACTCGCGTGCGGCGCGAGTCGTTGGCATAGTTTATTTAGCGCGCGACGTGCCGCGAGTTTATGTTGAAAAATGTCGTCGCGCAAGATCTCGGCAACGAGCGTCAAGTTTCAAGTCATATTTTCGCGCCAGCTATCCGCGGAATTTCAGTCTCCGCCACGGCAGACAAGTGTCTCCGCGAACATTGTTTAATCTAATCTCATTTTCTTTTCAGCGGAAGTTCGTCGCTCACGTAAGTCGCGCGAGCAAACCGCAGTGTCTCGGTTCGTTAGAGATGCTCATCGATCCAACTGCATCCCTCGAAATGCCATTCGTCACGGAATAAATAGCAGGGACCATAGAATTTCTGTATAACGTCTATAGGGTATACCGCAGCGACCGGTGCGTGCCGTATCAAGTCTTACGTCAATGGAGTTCATTCACATAAACATGCACCCGATCTCGAACTCGTGCTGCGATATGTTTAACAAGTAGCTCATATCTTCGCTAGGAAATCGGGGTCTTTACAAGCTTAAAGAGGATAGAAGTATCTCTTCGAGATACCGGCCGCACTCGAGCTGAAAACGATACACACAGTTTATTTTACTGCGCTTTACAGTTTGCAGAAAGAGCGCCAGCGTGAACCAATTCGAACATCAATTTGTCACCGCATCGTCGGTTATCCGCAGCGATCTCAATTTACCGCCGCGACTTTTCGTATCACCCGCGGAGAAAAACACGACTGTACAACACATAATTTTTCGATGCCGCGAGCGCATAGCGCAGAGAGAATCACTCAGTCAGACAAAATTACGCGCGATACGTCAACACCACACATAGAGATGCGAGTTTACGTTACGTGTCGGTGGAATAATTCGCACAACGGCGCGTGAGGATTAACAAAGCTCAGATAAATCATCGCGTAAACGTTTCAATTTTATTCTCCGTCGAATCTCCCCCCGCTCGAATATCTCGAATGATATTTATCACGTTCAGGCGCTTGTTCACGTTATTATTGTTGTGTAACGGAACCGGGCTCGCTTGCTCGTTCGCTCGCTCGCTGCGGTACACATCTCGCATCACCCATCATATCTCTCGACCGCGAGAAAATGGCATCGACAAACGCTTAACCTTGTGCACACTTTTCTTTGTTTCCAGGTCGTTACAGGTCGACCTCCATCAAGTGGCGACATAGCACCGCGGAGAGTCAAGTGCACACCTTCAAAATAAACCCCCGAACGGTCTGCGAGAAGATCCAGTCTAAAGAGGGCATTTCTATCATCTGAGCCGAGTATTAGTTTAATCGTGCGTCGCGAGAGTGCCATGCACTCCGTGTCGCAGCTTTCGTGTGCCATCATGACGGCGTGGACGGGAGAAATAATCGGGACATCATATAATCCAGCTCTGATCGTACGGTCGCTGAACGGCCAATAAGTTAACGAATCGATAATAAGTAATAGCTCGCCTCGTCACTTTTTACAAGATATTATTTTCTTACTGGTAAATGTGGAGTGGACGTGTGCGGAATTATGGGGAACGGAGAAAATTCAATGTTGTGTATAATAATTGGACGTACATCGCGGTGTAATTGAATAAATATAAACTGTGTTTTAAGTGTATAAATATAATGTGTGTATGCGCGCGCACACACACGTACACATATAAAACATGCGTCTTGCATTCGCGATAATATACGCTATTTTCCGATAAACCGTCGTTACTGTTTAGTTTATATCGGAATGATCGAATTATGTAATTATTAGGAAATAAATGTGATTTATCTATCTGTACTGAAACATCTCGCCAAAATTCTTTATTATTACTTTAATCCTTCAAATATGATTATTGATTATGTGCATTATACACGTATATACCAGCAATTTTTGTGCTTATTATCTTCTTTTTATATAATTTTGTGAGACAGACATTTAAACATTTAACATTTTCTAACGGATTATTTCTCAAATATATCCGAATCGTAGTAAATTCCGCGTTATTATTATTTTCTATCTTTCAAATTGCGCCTTATACCTATTTGCGTAAAACTCAAAGCAGATGCTTTGTATGACAAATTCGAGCCGAGGATTTTCAATGATTCTCAACACAGATTAAATAGCATAGATTTTCACTTTAACGTAAACACAAAAATCTAATGCTTTCGCGTTTACTAATTATTTCGATTAAAGTCTCGTTTCAAGAGAGAACGACATTACATCCGTTGAAAGTTCGAATGGTAATGTTCCCTTTCCGATAGTTTTTATTTCAACGACTACGTATCGTAGAGACTACGATATCTAGAAGCGGAGGTATCGACGTCCGCATCGATTCGCGCTCGCGATCGGCCCGGCGCTGCCGTCGTGGCGTAGGTCGCGTGCGAGGTATGAGCAGAAAACAATAGACGCGTGCCACAGATACGTTTCCAGGAAGAAATACCGCAACGTACGTGATAGCACGTCGCCTGGGCACGGCGTGCAGCTAGAACGGCCTTGTCCTACTCTTATCGATCTAGAAGCAGCTGTTCTGTCGCCCCGTGTCGACACGTGATCGTTCATCTCACTTGGAAACGAGTACAGCGCGAAAACACGATGTATACGCCGGCGCGAGAACAAGCGGCCCCTCCGCAGTGGGAACAAATAGAAATTTACTGTTCAAAAATCGCTAGAGACCACAATTTTATAGCAATCGGGATGCGTTTTCTTTTTTAATTAAACGTTAATCAATGTAGAAAAAAACTGTCGAGCCCGATTTTTGAAAACATTCTTTTAAATTTTGCAACATTCAAAAGAATTTGTAAGAAATTATCAAGTTTTGCGAGCCTCTGTTACAAATGGAAAAACTTTCCATCTTTTCGCTGCGCAGTACAGTGTATTAAGGTTTTCAGCATCGCTGGTTACGAATGTGATATAAAAATCAGAATTTGGCAATTAACAATTACTAATCTCCTGTCAACATAAACAAAATCATTGTTTTAACACAGTGTACATACGTTGCATAGAGTATACAAAGCCGTTCAACATAAATGTGAAGTCTGATATGAAATATGATAAAAATAACAAATTCAGCGCAAAAAAGTTGCAAAATAATTTGTTTATAACAGAATTGTTCTCACGAAAACCAAATATGTAGCTTATGTTTTCAAATCATCAAGCATCAAGTTTTCAAAACAATCATTTTCTAAATAAATTGTTTAAACAATTTTTTTTCTATTAGGTTGTTTGGAAAGTTCGTTTCAAATTTCGCGCGCTCCACATTTCTATGTAATCAGTAAGAACGAGGACGCTCTAAACGATTTTATGTTTGTCAACAAACATTCCCGGATCTATGAGCCCGCTAAGGAAACTTCGCAGATCTTCCTAAGTGCAACTATTTCGTCAGAAATCAGTTTGAAAAATGGAGAACCAAAAAGTCCATTTTCGTCATGTGATGCTATATTGCTTTAAACGTGACTTCACGGCTTCGCAGACCCTGAATGAGATGTTCTCAGTATATGGAGATGCCTGCGTCACTCACCAGACAGTTCGAAAATGGTATCGAAGATTCGAAGCTGGCGATTTCAACATGGAAGATCAAGCTCGCTCAGGCCAGCCTCAGGAGGTTGATGAAACGCTTCTTATGGATCTCGTGCACGAAAATCCTCGAGTGACAGTTAGAGAACTCGCCGACACTCTGCACAAGTCTGTTTCCACCGTGCATGACCATCTGAAGAAGCTAGGATTCTCAAGTCGACTGGATGCGTGGGTGCCACACGAAATGAATGAACGGCAGTTGCTGGAACGTGTGAACGTCTGCGATATGCTGCTTCAACGGCAGCAAAAAGAACCGTTCCTGAAGAGGATTGTAACAGGCGATGAAAGTTGGATCCTATACAATTATGTTAGCCGCAAGAGGTCGTGGGGAACCAGCGACGCGTCTACAAACAGTGGCCAAGCCGGGGCTTCACGCGAAAAAGGTTCTTCTGAGTATCTGGTGGGATTTTAAGGGCGTGGTATATTATGAGCTTCTTCAACCAAACGAAACCATCAACGCGGCGAAGTACAGCCTTCAACTGGACGAACTGAAGACTGCCATCGCACGGAAGCGCCCTGAATTGGCCAACAGGCGTGGAATTGTTTTCCATCATGATAACGCCAGATCTCACGTCGCAATGTCTATCCGTAGGAAGCTGTTAGACTTCGAATGGGACGTTCTTCCTCATCCCCCATATTCTCCCGACCTTGCCCCATCTGACTACTATCTATTTCTTTCTTTAAAAAATTTTCTTCGGGACAAGAAATTCGAGTCTTTGAAAGTCCTCAAAAGTCATCTTGATAAATTCTTCGCCAATAAGAAACCTTTATTTTGGAGCAAAGGCATCATGCAGCTTCCTGAAAGATGGGCCAAGGTCGTTGAACAAAACGGTACATATTTGCTTCAATAAAGTTCCTCTTTGTGTAAAATATTGCGCTCTTAATTTATTTCAAAAATTTGAAACGAACTTTCCGAACAACCTAATACATTGATTAACGTTTAATTTAAAAAAAAAACGCATCCCGATTGGTATAAAATTGTGATCTCTAGCGATTTTTGAGCAGTAAATTTCTATTTGTTCCCACTGTGCGACGAGTCGATCGACAGCGCTGGTCGATGAGAATGTCGCTTCGCGTCGTGTCTCAGATCACAGACTTCTATTTTATACACTAGACCAGTGATTTTCAACCATTTTTATCTCAAGGCACACTTGAACCTATAGTTAAACTTCCGCGGCACACTTAAATTACACATGATAATAAAAAAAAAGTAATGGAAAAGAATATACCTTCTTTGATTTATTTATTGGCACCAATAAAATGTACCATCACGCCAAAAAATAAAAAGAAACAATTTATTATAATTTGTAATAAAAAGATAACAATTAAAATTCTTAAAAATCTTCGCGGCACACCTTAGATCCTTTCACGGCATACCGTTTGAAAATCATTGCACTAAACCGATAACTTCGTCTTTTTAACACGTCCCCTAAAAGTATCTATTAAAATTTCACGCATGCACATTGCAAGGTCCCGAAGGGAATGTAACTGCACCGTACAGACATTTTTACTCCAGAAAATGTTAATGTTTATCCAATATTTAATATTTCCTCTTGCAATGTCACATTCAATGATATATTCAACGTTCACATTCAATATTCATTCAATATATTGTAACGTGGCAGCTTGAAGCGCCCGTTACCGAGCAAATATTCGGAGATAAAATCGGTAATTTGGCGGCGGAACGCCGTGCGAGCGGGGCGCCCGCGAATTTGGCCTAAGACGCCGGGGGTCTTCCCGGCGATTGGGGCGGATGGGGAGAGATTCGGCGAGACGGCGGGGCACGGCGGCAGGACCGCGAAACGCTCCCTGGGAGGTCCCGCGAGTAGGGGCCTCCGAGCCGATATCTCTGCGAAGACCGGAAGGATTCTTCCTATTGGTAGTACGGCCGCCTCCTGGCGCCTAATAACCTGGTGATATTTAGCTCGGTAGAAAATTCGGTCGGGTCGGACCCGCCACGTTCCGCTACCGGCGGAATTCCTGCGACGGAAAATCTTGCGCGACTCTCATCTCATTACGGGGTCTCATCTTGTTTAGTGAAAAACGTCGCAATATAGAGTACTAACTTTTATACATGAAAACCAATGGAAGTTCTCAGTCTAGCTTATATATAGAAGTCTATATGTCAGACGCATTCTGCTCATGTTCCTGAGTTCTCTATTTTTATGTAATTATACGTAATTATACGTAATTAATCGACGCGATAGATATTGTTGTCATTGCATTTGGAATCGCGGAAGTGCAGAAATTATTCGCGACGAAGATCAAACGAAGCGACTTATTGATCTCGTCTCTTTGAATTTGTCCGGATTCTCTCATAAAGATTAAGAATATCGTTTGAAAAACATCAAGCGGCAATTGTCATTGCGCGGAGACACGTTAATTAACATTTAATTTTGCGCTTTCACAATGGTCCTCAAAGAAACTTTGTTTACGAGAAAACGCTTTAATACGTACGTTTAATTAATACGTACTCCGTTGCAATCTCGTCTCATCGAAATGTTCTTGAATGAACCATTCAGTTACATGCCAGCTTTTCATTCTTTGACCCGCGAATTATAATTTTATACTGATTACATAGAAAATTATTACTCTCATTAGCGCGCTCACGAGAGCTCGTTACGAACTTCGGAGTCTCAATGAATTGCACCGTGTCAAAATACTCCGCACGAAATAATAATTCATTCGGTTAGCTCGCGTTTTACGATCCAAAAATGTGTATACTCGCTGCTTCACTCTCCCATAGCGAAAGTCATCAAACGAATATCATGGTGACTTGTCTAAATCACGCGACTGGGCGAGAAACTGTACAATTAATTGGTTCCGAGTGCGGTTGGCGTATGTAAATTGAATCGCCGCGCGGAAAGCGCGTGTTGAAAAACTCACCACGAGGAACAGGTGCTTGCATCTTACGGACGTATAAACAATAGCTCGCAATGTACACCGGGAGATTTGAATGCGCTCGGCTATATTCATTTAGCACGCTAAGAAATGACTCGCGCATACTATTAAATTCAACCTGGCTTTCTTACCTGTTCCCGCTATTATCTCGGGGAAACCGGAAAATTCGTTCTCTTCTAATTCCTTACTCGTTACCGAGCATGCCAGTACAATGTTTATTGTATCCGCTCCGTGCGGAGCGTTCGCAGTTTATGCAAACCAACGAGCGCGTTTGCGCCAATTAATTAATAATTTAAGTACGAAAGCCACCGGGAATTGCAG